TACAATATTCAATTCTGGTTTTCACAAAGGGAAGGGAAAAACAAATCTGTAAAAAAAAAAGGTGGGGGCTAGGTAGAAATCGAAAGGAATGCAAATATAGGCACAGACTGCACAGACAACACAAAATAATATATCCCTCCCAACCACCTGTATTTAGGGGTGACAAACAGAACACAAACAAATAATTTCAGAACTGAAGGAAGAGAAAAATAAGGCACACAGAGCATACTTGTTTGGAAATAATGTTTGTTTGGAAATAAAAAAGTAACTGAATTGTGAAATTTTGCATTCATGAATATATAAAGGAATAATGGATTCCACTTCAGATACAAAAGAAGTGACAAAAAGAACTAAAAATCTAATTTTACACAGGCAATAGTATATACTAAAGAGCTGTGAGAAGATAGTAAAAATGTGGCCTCTGTGATGTTTCAGTGGTAGCAAAACTATGACATTGATTTAAGGATTGAATCATTCATTCAGGTAGAGTATATTTTACCTTTGCAACTGGGTTGTCAGTATATAGAGTCAGAACAAGATCAAATTGGCATTACATAAGAGTAAATGAAATGTGTTCTAGTAACTTGTCAAATGGACAGCTCACACCAGGCTTTATTCATCTATATCTTGGCAAGGCAGGCCAACGTAGAAACAAACATTCAAATAAAGATGACAAGTACAAGCAGCACCATATCCTATCCTAGGAAAAAGCATCGTAACATGCAGTCACATCTCACTGAAGCTTCATCATGTATGAGGCATGTATAAAAAGGCCTGTGTCCAAAAGTATTTCTCCTGGGATCCAATCTAGCTACAGACCAAGTGCTATAGAACTGTTTATATTGTGAGTGATATTTGTTCATGGATAAAAACAAGTGGATAAGATACTCAAGAAATGTCTTTGTAAATCAAAAAGTTAATCATTTCATTCATGTTCACCATTTTCTCCTTCTGGTTTTTCTATATAAGAATTAATAACATCTTGCTTTGAAGCTAAGCGGCCTAACATAATGCAATTTTCATATTTATATTTAATTGATTTTCTTCTTCTTCCTTCTTAATGGCATATAAATCCAGCTCTATAGCAAAGCACATGGCAAAGTTATGTGAATCAGCAAAACATCCTAGTTTATGATGTGTTTGTCCTACACTGTCCAGTATGCTCTTGAACATAAGGATTCGTTGAGTGCAAACTTGAACATTATTCCCAGTCCAATGTTAGTATAAGACACATTTTAAGACATGATGCTCTTTAAATTGAAAAAGCATAGAATCGTCACAAATCTTCAGAATTATCTCCCATACTTTTTTATACTTATTATGCACTAACCATGAGTTACTGGCTATGCCTTCATTTTCCTTAAGAGCTTTAGTTATGAGTGCCTGAGGTGCTGCATTACAGCACTCATGATCTTATACCCTTACTTAGTATAAAGAATTAGCATTGTTCTAAAAAATAATGCATGACATGTCCAGTTATAAGCTCACAGTTGTGTTTAAAAATTGAAAGCTGATACTTCAGTATCCTACCAGGAAATTGGCAAAAATTTTGCAATATCACATCTGTTTTTCACTCAATTTCTGTGAATGTCAAATCAGTGCTCATTCTTAGGCTTTGTATACTATTGGTTTAAATTTCAAAGTAGATATATGTATAAAATGTTGGAAGAGATATTTGCAATTGGATGTTATTAATCTGACCTGGAAAATATCAGGATCATTTCAAAATTACACCAAAGTAAACAAATGAAAAATGATTTGAGTAGTACATGAAAGACAATGGTTACAATTAGATGAGACTAAAACACTAAGGCTTTGCTACTCTGCCAAGTGTTTTGTGTTACATGATTATTGAGGTAAATTTCTATCCTAGGGACATGGCTTTTCTCAGGAGATTCTAACATTATATAGATCTTTCCAATTGAGGTTACTGAATATCTAACTTTGACATTTTTAGCCTAGAAGGCAATGCATGAGTATCAGATGCGTTTATGCAGGGTAACAGCTAATGACCACTGTCTAATTATATACATTGATATATCACATACTCGTCACTAGTGTGAAGAGCCTGAAGTTGCATTGTTCTACTATTTTTATACTTGCTAAAGTAAATTTTCCAGTTGTATTAAGGAGTGCTATATGATGTTTTACATTTTACAAAAGACTCATATTTCCTGTTCTTTAATTTTCATAATATATGATAAATTTAATATTTAGAATTCATATTTATTGTGTGGTGCTATGCCTGGTTGCTGCATTCTTTATTATGAAGTTTTTCTGATATTTAGGAAGTTCTAATTTTTTAAATATAACTTCTCTGATGTAGCTATGGTTCCCTACTAGGCAACATAGACTCTATAACATAGATACATATGTTCTGGCAGTTATAAACTGTGATCACAATAAATCAATCAGGAAGGTGCATGAGATACAATGAAATGGCTAGATTTTCTAGTATTATTGTTATGAAACCTTGTGATATCATAAGATTGTACTCATGACTACTTATAATGGCTTATCTGAATTTAACATTTTTGGTTTAGATGGCATGTTCTGTTTAACATCTGATATTTTGGAACGTGTTCTTGAGAGAATCAAAAATTCAATCAACTCTGTGCTGTGTTTGCTGAAAAAGATTTCACCACCAGCCATGAGGTTGTTTCAGTATATGTTACAGTCTCACAGACTCAATACTATCAGTAAGCCACTGCCTTTATTAGTTTTTGGAAATAATTCCAAAACTTAAAAAGAAAAGGATTATTTTAATGAATTTTGTGTTAACTCAGTCTATTTGATTATAAGATCCATTCTTTTTCAGGTAGCACACTGAATTTAGTCAATATGGCCACATTGCTTATTCTACTATAAGATCCACAAAGTGTGAGTGTGTATTTGTAGCATACTAGAGATAACAGCATAATATGTAGAAGTGGAAAGTATTATATTAGTTTCCCTAGGATCTCATATATACACATCATCCATGTATTGGAAATACCAGTGAAGTTGGGCAATGTTCTCATCCACCACATTGTGTTTTTTAAATCACCGACAGAAAGTGAATAAAAACAAGTATCTAGTATATGAAACACACAAATTATATGTCAATAGAAAAAGATTACAAGCAATCTGAATAGTAAAAGTAACATTTGCTTATTTCAGTAAATCAGTCTCTATCCTTTATTACTCAGTAATTATTTTTTGTAAATTATTACTTAGTAATTTATTACATCTGATTCAGAAAAGTCTTGCCCTCTGATTTATAACAGAAGTTGTCTTTGCTAGTATCATATAATGTTCTCTAATTTATGCACGTTACCTTTGCGATTGTAAAGAGCATCTGTATTCACCTGTTCTGATGCCATGTCAGAAGACACTTTGTTCTGAAACAGGTCAGTAGTTAAATTCACAACCTTTTCCACAGATCTGATGTGGCTTAACTGCTTTATAGAGAACACAGACTGATTGGCTGTTTAATACTTCATTCAGTCCAGTTAATAATATATAGAAAAATAATATTTGGCTAAAATTATAATATAGTTAATTTATGTAAGAAACATTACCTTGTTTATATTTATGTTTATATTAAAGTAATGAGAAATAATGAAACAGAAGGTGAATTATTTTTTGTCATTGTGAATGTGTTTTCATTTCAATTTAGGAAACCCTAGGTCTGAACTTTCCATGCTATCAGTGATAGAATGTTGAAAAATATTTGATATGTTGTATATCTCTATTGATACTGAACTTGTACATTATATTGTTTTATTTATTATTCACCTTGTTCTTGAATCACTATTCTTATGTGCTAGACCAATTAGTCACTCTCCCTTTCACTATTCCATTAGGATTGACATTTTTTCCCCAAACCCCAAGTGGAAGAGAAGTAGTAACCATACAAAGTGCCTGGCATAAAATAGGCAAATAGAATCCCAATGTTTGTGATTATGCTGTACTTAATATTTTCTTATCTCTTGTAGTCTCACAACCTGAAAATTTAAATGTTCTAATAAACAGAGAAGCCATATATGCCTTTTCTTATCACATAAATCTCATCTCATATTGAGGAAAATATGGCCCAACACTTATCTATGACATTTCCAGAATTCAAGCATAATGACAGAGTCTTTCCCTTCTTAATGCTATCGTTATTTTCTAGCCCTTATATATTTATAGTCTTCTGATGAATCAGGATATTGTGACAAATGAGTAAAGAGGCAAAAGATTGCTTCTTTAGTTTCTTTCTCATTTTAGAGGAAAAAAAATCAATTTTTGGTGCAGGTTGATGGAATTCCTCAATGATTTACATATGTCCCCAAATGACATGGTTACTCATTTCAATCTTCAGCAAAATACAATTTCCAGTCTTTTTTTTTTTTTTCTTGGCATCGGGCCCTAAAAAGATTAAACCCTCCCACAGGCAAACATTGTATAAATGAGCTTATGTATATAGTTCTCGCTCCATGCTCAGTAGAAGCGACTCTTTATAATACCAGCATTGTCTAGAATGGAAGCACTGAAATAAAGCTACAGGGCTAATTCTTGTCCTCTCCCCTTGCTTTCTTGGCCTTCACACACATAATCTCCATCATCTTGTCAAAATACAGTCTGCATTGCATAATGTTTTGCTGTAAAGCCATTAGCCATTACTTTTTTCTAACTATCCTTTTTTCTTAGCCTTACTTTATGTTCAGGTTGTAAGAAATAACAATTTGCAAGGATTTGCAACATGCCCTCCATGATTACAAAATATTTTCCCCAACCAAAACATAAACATATAGTTTAACTGAGAGGCATTCTAATTTTCATGCTATGTTGAGTATAAATACAAATTCAAGGCAACCAAACCAACCATTTCCAAATAAGAATGTATACCTACACTCATTAAAATCATCTGGAAATGTGTATTATTAGCAAATGAGTAAGAAATTTTCACTAGTATAAAATTCCTGCTTTATTTAAAAGCCACACTGGCCTTTCAAGTATTTTGAGGTTTTTTTCCCCCCATAGTTCTATATTTGTACTAAAATGATGAATTTAGACTTGAAATTATATTAAAGGAAAATTAAAAGTCACTTCTACCTATAGGGCATTTTTAAAGTGTGCGTGTAAAGAGCAAAGTGTCCATCTGCAGATCCACCATCAACACTCCTTCTCTCTCCACTCTAAGGAAACAGCTCATGCTTACTAGGTTTTTAGAGAACAATTAACACTCCAATGGAGAAGCAACACAAGACTTCCTCTGTTTGTGCCAGTTTGCAAGTTAAAGGTCAAAGGGCAAAGACATAGAACAGGACTCTTCAAGGAAAATTTTCACAGAAGATAATGTTTAAGTTTTTGTTAATGACAGTCAACAGATCAATAATCAACTTCAAGGCAAGCTGTTCATTGTTTCAAAAGCTAATCCCCTCAAAAGCTGGCTTTCACACAAAGCCAATGTCTGACTCATGGGGTGCATTCGTTCTGACCATCTCTAATAAGTTCACAGCCCAGTGGCTGTAAAGCCTTTCACTGCAAGAAGCAGCGCCTAAAAATCAATTAAGAGGTCTGTCAGTTGCTGACTTTTCTCTAGGAAAAAAATATTGATACAAACCTGCTCTGCAGGTCACCTGAAAATGACAATACTGCTGTTAGGACAAATTACACTCAACAATGAAATGCTTTGGTGGTCTCTTGGCTCTGTCAGCTATCAAATGGATGGCTAAATGCCAGAAGCCACACTAACCCTTTGAGAACTATGGTTGACATGAGATAGATAGCTAATACACTGGAGGATATTCATGCAATCTCAGAGTCATCATTTTAATTCATTCTTTAGATGGCAATGCTAACGGCGTCTTCCACGGCAAATTGAGTTTTCATGCAATGGATTTTAAAACAGAAATTGTGTTGTGTGTTGTGCCTAACAACAACAACAAAAAAGACAGGCTGTTATAATCAGTTGTTCAAATAAAATTTCACTCTTACAAGATATTTAATAAAATAACTTTTTATTTGCCAGAAAATTTTTGGCAAGTAACATCATTTCTGTTTGTTATAAATGCATTTATGTAGTAGTGTGAATCAACTAAAAATTACATGAGGTTATAGGATATCTGTTTTAAAAACCTGAACTTCTTAAACCTGTGCCTGTTTTTACCATTGCCCAGTTCAATAATTTACCAGATCCTAAGACTCTGAAAGCTGATTTGATAGTTCTCAAAGGGTTACACCAATGTATTACTAGTGTCACATATCCTTATAAAATAACTGTCACTTTAAACCACTTTAAAGACAAACTGCTTTTTGCTCCACTTATAATGAATATTCCTGACAGACCCATGGAAGGCCTGGGGCAGTGGCCTAATACAACTTGGGGAGATTATCACAATGATGTAGGGGTAAGGTGGCAGGAAGGGGTTTAGAAACACTTCAAAACAATTAAAATGTCCCATTTGAATATAGCTGTGAATATAAATGTGATGAAACATTGAGAACATAGCTGAGAACAGCTGTATAAAATGAAAAATGGATGTAGTATTAAGGCTGTTACAATATTGCAGATATTTTGGCCCCTTGTTTGTTGGAAAATGGCTGTCCCAACAGTCTAAAGTCCTGCATGTGTATTCCAGGTCTCCCACCTGACAAAAACGAAGCATAGGAGACTGTCCATAGCAGTCAGAGAACTATCTTCTTTGGAGACAAAGCTGTTTTGGGTCTTCACACTCTCCTGAACGTTCAATTGTGGGTATTTTGTTTAACCTTTTCTTTTTCCTTGCTGTAAAGCAAAAATTTGTGGGTTTTCCATTTTGCTTTTTCCCCCAGAAATGGGCTCAGACATCAGAAAAAAACATATTAGAAACCTTTAAGAAGAATCTTTTCTTCTTTTTCCTCTTTAGGTAATCCTGAAAATTTACTGGGCATTGAGCGTGCAGAGGAAAGGCCTAGAACTGAATGACAAAAAAAGACAAAGGACTGAAGAACGGCAGGTACTGTGCATCATGGAAGCTTCCCCATGAGTGCGTTTCCATTCATGTGCAGGACCAGCAACCCTCTGGGTTTGAAAGGTCAGCCCCAAATCTGGCTGTCACAAGCCTGCTCCTAGCTAGGAAACAGCATAACAGCTCTTGTCTTGAATCTCAAGTTATCACAAACTCCTAGAAAAGAAAGAAAGGAAAAATCCCTACATCACACCCACTCTTGCATAGAGCGTTTACAGTACAGTATGTGGCGGGGTGTTCCTTTCCTCTTGAACTGGAACACAGTGTAAACCAATACAAGGAGGCATAAGGCCAAGATGCAGGGAATGACAATAGCTATGGCTTTCACAGTGCTGGCTGTGTTGTCCAATTTGATGACAATGTCTACATCATCTGGTGGGCTGTGTCCTTCTTTATCTCTGTCTCTTGGTCCGTCACAGCCCATAAAATCCTTGAGGATGGATCTGGGATATCCAGGTTCTACCTTGAGTATCTGGTTGTTGAATTTCCAATACTCCTTTCCTTTGTAGAAATACGTAAAGCCTGGTGGGGGGAAAACACACACACACAGGAACCACTTATTTGTAAAAGTGTATATGTATAGAAATTTAATTAAATAGGATACTTAAAAGATGTATGTTAAAGCCACTCAATTTTTGTAGGAAAACACTATTCCCAGATCAGCTGTCTATTGAAATGGATCTGGCACTTGTGCTCCAGAAACTGTGCCCTCAAATGCCTAGGGAAAGCTCAGCTGAAAGAGAGAAATAATATTTGCACAGAGTTGTTGAAAGACCATGCTTTATACATCTACTCTTAGTCTACACTGCAAAAATAACTTCATACTGTTGCTCGCTTATAGGATTGCTGGTACAGAATTACACATTAGTGTGAGAGTATCAACCTGTATTGAAAGATGCCAAAACAGCCTTATAAACAGAAGCCCTGTTTGCCCTCATGCAGCTATTGAGGACATTGTGCAATACATCATAAGGAGGCGTCTCCATGAAACACATCAAGGGAAATTTCTAATCATCTTAGCATCAGGAATAGTTGTACTTCTCCTAAGGAACAAGTTTGTTTTTGTCATTTGGAAAAGAAATCACAAGAAATCATAAATCAAGAAACTAAAGGTGATTTCCTTTGTATGCTAGGAATTTTAATAAATACGTATTTATTGTATTTTGTGCAGTAACCCTTTTCAGCTCTAGGTCATGCCCATTTTGTCTCTTCTTTTGTCCTCATTTTTTAACTTTCTTATTTACTTAGCTTATATTAAATTTTTATCACCTAGCTACATTTTACAGAAATTCTAAAGCTATTGTTAATCCTTTTAGAGTAAAGGATGAATAGAGTATAAATAAATCTATAATTCTATCTTTAATACTTCCAACTAACATATATTTCATGGGGGAGGAGGTAGTATGTAGAAGGCTCAAGTAACTTAGCAACACATATGATTTATGTTCCAAAACATTATGGATGCAGATAATAGATTTGTAAACTTGTGACAATTAAACTATAAATATGTTTTTCTTAGAACTGTTCTCTTAACTTTTGTTTTTTTTTCCTGGGAGCAAGCCCTGGTTTTTCTTTCTGTCCATATCTCTTTCATGTCAAGTTTCTTTGTGACTTTGAGATAAAATTCAAGAAAATAAGAAATGTTTTAATGTTATAATCACTTAAAAACTATATTTTGGGAGATGTCTAATTTTGAATAGTATGCCTATTTTTGAGTTAATAATCATTAATGAGGGTTTTTCCCCTTCATTATTGAGCACTTATTATGGAAGAATCACTGTGTTAAAAACTTAGTAAATGGGGCTTCCCTGGTGGCACAGTGGTTGACAGTCCACCTGCTGATGCAGGAGCCTGTGCTCCGCAACGGGAGAGGCCCGTGTACTGCAAAAAAAACCACAACTTAGTAAATGACATATTTTAATCCTCATAAACACTCTGTCAGGTAGAATTAGCTACCTATACTTTTCAGGCAAAGATACTGAAGCTCAGATAAAATGATATGCCCTAGTCCTGTTGAAAAAAGGATTTAAATCTTGGTCTAGCTTTAGAGCCTGAATCTTAATGATTTTTCTAAGGCCAGGTCCTTTAGAGATTTTTGTCTTTTCACAAATACTCCTTGGTTCAACATCACAGGTGGTGATAGACAGCATTCCTAAATCAATAACAACAAAAAACTCTGACATCTCTCAAAAACTTTCAGCTAGGATAGACCATCACTTCAGGTCACTTCATTCTAGAAATCATTCTGTTCCATGCCATGAAAATCAGCTATTGCTTTTAGTTTTGAAGGGCAGTTTTTCAATCAGAACAACTTGCCAAGTGAAAACAGGTGTATGTAGATTCAAATTTTTCTGCACGCAGGGAGTTGGTATTTGATCACGCTAATGAACTCCAACGTAATTACTCAACAAGCTTGGATAAACAAATGTCTAGGGCCTGCCAAATAAAGTGCATTAGACGATTATGGTTGAATAATGGCATTGATCTAGAATGAAACAGACCTTCCAGACAGGTAAATGTACTTCTTATATTTGTAAACTGGGAACCAACAGCTGGAAATGTCCTCATCTTTAATGTTTAGTCAAAGCTAATTACTAAGAAACTACTGGGTATCACATAAAAATTCAGAAGTTTCCATTTTCATATTTATCATGTCTGCAGGCCAAGTTCTATACTAACACACTCCATATACAGTAGAATTATAGTTGGCTGAATACACTTGTTAGAGGTAAGAAGTCTAGTCAGCAGGAGTTAAGAGAATAAAAGTAATTGAAAAGAAGTAGCCTAAAATCTTGGTAATAGAAATCTGTCAAACATTGATCCTGAAAAATTCATCTCATTCAATAATTTTTTTAACCATTTATGAAATATTAGTGGGTTGAAGAAATGCTTATATACTCATTTTTTTTCTTTTGTGAGTAACTTTGATGTTATAATCTTGTAGATGTTATGCTTACTAAGAGTAGAAACTTCAGATGAACTCACCTGAAGTATCATTTTTGAGAAATTCTGAGGTAGAAGTCAGTTAGGCTGTAATGAATTATATGATGACTTTTTTTTTCCTTGTATTTGATTGGTTTTCACTGGTGACTGTTCTATTGCTTAGTCCTAAAATGTAAGGAGAAATTGTCTACCATAGCTGTCTTGTTATAACTTCATAGAAGATCCTGCATGGCAGTGCCTGTGTTTTCTCTCTGTTTTCTACTATTGTATATTTATTAGTAAAAGTTAATTAATGTTTAACAAATGTGAATGAATAACCTGGGTCTTGTGATAATATTTGTTTGAATCCCACGTGTAGATTTTAACAGAGAGTGAGGGTCGTGGTAGAGAATTAATACACCAACAGAATCAAGAGTCAAACTATTTTAACAGGCTAAAAGTGGATCTATAATCAGTAAAATAAAATGCAGCAGTGTTAAAGCAGAATCTTGTATTAACCTTAAAATTGCATTTTCTAAGGAGAGAATATAGAAAACCTAGGAGGCAGGGCTTGACAGCAAGTAACTTAGAGATTTGAAGGTGGGTAAATGCAGTGATTATTTACTACAATTTTAGTATAAGTTAAAAACTCATGCCATTGTTTAAAACACTGTCAAAAGCAAGAAAAAAAAATATATATATATATATATATATATATGGCATAAGTCAAATATCCTTTGGATTATTGTAGCTATTTTCAGGGGCTAAAAATAAAGAAGAAAAGAAAATTGTTAAATTAAGATGGTTACAGGTGAAAACTGGGATGATGATGGATTAGAAGCTATATTCTGAGAAAGCCTAAGGTATATCTAATATGACAAAATGAAAAATCTGGCCTGACATGACAGATTTTCAATTACCTTAATGGTATAATGTAGGAAAAGATGTTTTAACTTTTCCTCTTTGGAGAGAGTGCATTAGAGAAATTCAGTGAGGCTAGAATCATCTAGTTTCAAACCGTAGACATATAATATCACCACTTTCATGATCATGAGTAAGTTAATTAAACTAGCTGATGCTGTTTTCCTCATTCATAAATAATTATAAATGAGGTAAAGAGGCATTTGTGTTGGACAATTAAATTAGATAACAAATTTATGTAGCACAACTGATAGATGGTGGGAAGTCAGTAAATCGCACCACATATTCACATTTCATTGGCCAAGGTGGCAGAATTAATATCAATAGGTATTATAGGAAGGCATATTCCACCTTAATATGAAAACATCCTTCAAAAATCTATAGCTCAATTTTAAGCTTCTGGGATTTTTTTTTTTTTTGAAAACTACCATAAGGAGAAGATCCCTAGGAAGAAATTCCTACCTTGGTGGAAGGGTGAAGAATTAGAGAAAACATTTCATTGCTCTATCATCTCTGATTTTATGACCATCAAGTATCATATGCATGAAGTTATCCTTATAGGGAATTATTTTGAGTATATAAATTTATTTATATTTATATAAATATAAGTGTGTTTACTCAATAAATTGAACTTGATCTTCTATAAAAACCATAAGGGAAGAAGTTGTGTAAAATTTGAATTCAAGGTAAAAAAACACAAACATGTGATTTGAATAGAAAATTAAAAGTGGAGAATTTGCTATTGGTAGACTATCTAGACTAAGACGTTCCAGATTGATTAATATCACTACCCTACAGAACAAAGGTTTCAAACAAATAGGAGATCTCCTTCAATGCAGGGAGTGAAGGTCTAGAGTAATGGAAGGGATAAAATTAATTTCAACAACTAATGTTTATTGAATGGTTACTATGTACCTGCATTTGAGAGTTTACACTAGAGGGGATAACAAACAGGCATATAAATTGATTGTTGTAATATGAGATTTTGAGGGCAAGGGATGGTGTACCAAAAAGGATATTCAAGTATTACTGAAAGATCAAAAGTGAGCTCAATGTTGAAGGATATCAAAGAAAGGGCTGGACCAGGTAAGGTACAGAAGACATAGATGTGTTGAAGTTTCATCTGTATTTTTTTGTCATTTGTAAGCACTGGTTTTTCCAACATGATTTGTTCTTTTGCCAGTATTTTACAAAGTTATTCTTTGCCATGTGAAAATAAAATATTAAATTCTGAATGTAAGGAAACCATTTATACTAAACAAATATTATTTTCAGATGGACAAGAATATGAAAAATCATGGGGCAAGATGCAGCCAGAAGATTTTTTTGTTATCTTTATATAATTATGATTTATTTCCAGAGAACCTGAATCAAATCTCAAATTTTAATGGACTTACAAATAGAAACAGGGGAAAAAAAAACAGTTAATATGCTAAGGAATTAAGGTTATGTGTACTTTTTCAATCTTTTGAAATAATTATTACTTATTTTAAAAGTTATTTTTATTATAAAAGTTATATTCATTTTAGAATATTAATAAAGGAAAGAAATTGAAAAAAATTTTTTATCAAACTTGCTATACTTAATCACTGGTAAGGTCATGGCTTAATTTTCTTTGCATATATTTTTGTATAGTGCGTGACAACTTTTATTGAGGGCAGTCTAGAGCAGTGGTAGAACTTCTGTAAAGGTAAGCTAGAGCTGGTTTTATCTGGACTGAAACAACCCCCTTTAATCTAACCTCAAGAAATCTCCTCTCCTCCTTAGATTCTTGGTGACAGCTCTTATTTTAGGGGATCATCTCAGTTTTCTGCTTTCCATGTGATTATCTTTCATGTTTTTTCATTTCTTTGTCTTCTGCATCTTCATAGTTTGTGGAGTTTTTTTGCCATATATTGATATGGTTTTACTGCCTCCAATTTGACTGCATTGTAACTTTATTTTCTTATTGATTTCCTTTTTATCTCAGACAGATATGTTTCATCTCAATCTGGCCTCTCCTGTGGATTTCTGCTTTTGTCACATACAGGCTATATATTAACTTGGTGCTTTAATTCTCTGAACCAATAGAATACACAAAAAACTATAATTCCAGTAAGTGCTATAATCAGGGCTTCAAGGTTCTTTTTGACTTAGCATACAGTGTTTTACTCGTGGGATATCCTTACACAGAATGTAGTATAAATTACATATAACAATGGTCAAAACAATGGTCAAAACACAGTTTGTGTTTTATTTTTCTGATTGGTATCATCCTGGGTGTCAGTTCCTTCAAGCTTGTACTCAGTGTAAAGCTTTCTTAAACTCTGGCAATTTGCTGATGATCAGCCATTGTTTTCAGTGGGTGGTGTCAATTTTTCATTTTCCCCTGTTTCTTCATTATTTTTTTTCAATAATCCTCTCCAAGATGGATTTAATTTTCCTCTTGCAAGTGATGTTTATTTTGTTCTTGTTGCATATATGTTATAGATTTTTCATGCTATTTAGGACCCACATAATGTATTATTTTCTTCTCGTTCCTATTATAAATCATCTGAGAGGGTATTTTCTTTTTCTCTGTATTTCAGTTTGATGTCACTTTCCTTTGTTCTGGAATATTGTGTATAAATTTTATTTTGAATTATTATTATTATGGTTTATTTCTACTTACTAATCCCTGAATGTGGAGAGAAATGTTCAGACTTTACCAACAGATACAGAAGTGTTGATTACCCATTGCTTGGCTAACTTCCCTTAGGATCTGGCTGAATCCCAAATCCTGAGATGGAGAGCAAGTCAGCTCTGTGATCTGTTTCTGTTATTAATCAATCATACATCTACTCTAGTCTTACTGTATTGAGCTGGGATCTTTCTTGTTTGCTGACACTATAAGCCAAAGGCACACATGAAAAATTATAATCCTCAACATGCTGTACAATCCTCAGCCCACATTTATAACATATCTTCTTTGTGACCAGCTCCTGTCCCACATATGTCTGTTATTATTATCTTTACATGAATTTTAGTAGAAAATAGGTGAGGTTACTTCAAAGGAATTAACACTCTTCATTTTTAAAAATTACTTTTTTTTCTTATAAACTAAAATAGGTTGAGGTTAAAAAAATCTTGAGCATAATATTAAATATAAATCTATGAAGGAAATTTTATATAAATATAATATGAGATAGCCCTAGTATGTTACTTTCTAATCATTTAACATAGTGAACAAGTAGGATAGATTATTCAAATACTTAGTGAGCTCATGAAATATATAATGCACATGTTGCATACCATTTTCTTTGTGCACAAAGGCTCCCTGAGGAGATTCGGGGATACCTTTCCAGACTGTGATTGGTTTGGGATAGCCAGGATCCATGGTTTTCATTTCTTCACTATATCTCCAATACCTGAAAAGGATAAATAAACAACAACAACACATGCATAGAAAAGACAATTATGTATACAAACAATAACAGCTAGCTAGCATTCATTAAATCCTTGCTGCATGCTACCTATGTACTTGTTAGTGATTTAAAGAACTGATTTAAATCATGCAAAGACAGTGTACACAATTTATTCTGTTTCCTTTTTAGAATATGCTAAAAATGGATATTTTATTTTATATTTATTCAGTCTGCTAAAAATTAATTTTAAAACTCTAGCTAAGCATCGTTACAATTCAAAAGGGTATCACCAACCTATGTAGAAATCAGAGATTTTCATGATTTTTAAAAATCTTACTTAGGCACCAGAATACATCATTTGAAATAAGCATAATCTTGATCCATTTACTCATTCATTTATTTAACAAATATTTATTGAGTACCTACTGTGTTTCTAGCATTACTGTAGGTGCCAGTGATACAACCTTGGACAAAACAGACATGCCCCAGCTCTTATCAATCTTATATTTTAGGATATGTAGAGATTACAGGCAAAAAAAAATGTCAATAAGTGCATACTATCATAGGAGGTGGTAAGATCTATTAAGAAAACAAAGCAGAAAAAATTACTGGATAGCAAGTTCTTTGATAAGCCGTTGTATGAGCACAGAGCAGAAAGAAGTGAGAAGCAACATTCTGTAGTTTTGGGGAGCATAACATTCCAGGTAGAGTAACTAGTTATCAAAAGTTTCTGTGGCAGGCATAAACCTGGAGCACTTGAGCATCCACAGTGAGGCTAGAGTGACTAGAATAGAGTTAGCAAAAGAGAGACAAGGTCAGAGTGGGAACCAGCACCTGTGATTAGATAGACCCTTAAACTATGGCAAAACCTTTTGTTTTCCTCTAGGAGAGATGTGAAGCCAATGAAGATTTTGAGCAGAGGACCTTCAAGATATGGCTTATTTTTGAAAGGAATGCACTGCTGCTATGAGTTCAACAGATTGAAGGAGGTAAAGTAGAAGAAGAGATACTGGTTAGGATGTCATTTCAGTAATCCTTGGGCTAGAATGAGTACTGGAGAACTGATGATGATCCAAGGGACTGGGATATTATTTTGAAGAAAAAGCCCGAAGAGCTTACTAATGGATTGAATGCAGTATGTGAGAGAACAAAGTTGAGCATAACTCAAGAATTTGGGGCCTGAACAACCAGAAGAATAATGTTGCCATTCAGTGAGGTAAGGAAGCATGGAAAGGTAAGTTAAGGAGGTTTGAGGAATTGTGAGTTTGATTTTAAGCGTGTTAAAATCAGATGCCTGTTAAACAACAAAGTAGTTGTTGATGAAGCAATTAGGTATATGACTGTAGACTTTAGGGCAAGTCTTGACTAGAGTCCTTGGTGTATAGATGGATAAACAGATAAAAGCAAAGCTTGCTAAAAGTCAGAACTCTCAGAGCTCTCATCCCTTCACAAGGTGGCCATTGGACCACTTTCACAGACCCATTAGACATCTAAGGAAAAAATTGTGAACCTCCCTACTTTGGATCACTCATTATTGCCTATATGTTCTAAGAGTCAAAATTTTTATGTCTGAATGTTCAAAAGGATTGACAAAACTGGGGTGAAGCCATTGGGAGTTCACAGTGATATTGCCTATTTTAGGGCAGGCATAATGCTCTATGCATTATATCAAATGTTTATTCACTATAAACTCATGAGAGAATTGTCATTGTCTCCATTTGAGAGAGGAGAATTCTTGGAGGACAATGACTCATAACCAGTTCTGTTCCATTTCAAAAGTCACTATTCTTTCTTCTACACATAGCAAATATGTTTGACAACATTTTCTCCCCCACACCACTAAACATCTCTTAACATATGCTAAAGGTAGCATTTCACGAAGAGATTTGTGAAGTAACACACAATGCATTATCTTGGGATTAGGCATTTAGCTTAAATCAGAAAAAGAGAAAAAATATCCAGTCTTTTCTGTATATTCTCTTGCTTCAGGTCTATGGAGAATCCTTTATCTACAGAGCTGTGGGATCTTGTAAAGAATGTTTTGCTATAGATTCCCAGATACCTCAGATAAGTAATATGTGGAATATTAGCACTTCCTCCATCTTCAGTGTTCACATGGAAAAGAAAAAAAGATTGTTTCAGGATGTATCCCAATAATAAGCCACAAGGCAGATTTTATCCAGACAGGAAAATACACTGTAGAGGTGTTTGTCATAGATTCTTATCACATAGAAGATAAGGGCAGATTTGATAGAGAGATCAGGAAAAGCTTCAGGGAGAAGCACTGAGCTGAAATAATGGTAGCCAGGCCTATCTTTCTGAAGAAGACAAGTAGGGAATGCAAAGTTCTACCAAAACTAAAGTATACTTTCTTTCATGGAAACATCTGCTTTTAAGTTATTTTTGAATATTCCTGTATCACAGAACACGCTGCGATGAATATAGCATGGTTAATGGGGTTGAGATTGCACTCAGAATCTCCAGATCTCTTCTCTCAAGTAAATATTTCAATGGGATTTACAATAGTCATATATATTAACTGGTTCCTGAAGTTGATCATAAAGAAAAGTTCTCACAGAGAAATCATCAAATACCTTATTTCACGGATTCTAAGATACATATTTTTTTCACATTTCACATCTCTATTATAGGTATTTCACACCTCAATACTGTGTCAAAGCATACTGGGCAGAGTTTTCCCCTCAATGATAGATTAATTTATGATGTATCTTACAATAAATGGCATTTTTAGATGGCATAAACCATAACTTAAAGCAAGTTTTAAAATTTTGCTAACCCAGGAATAATTTAAAATCCTAGGGACAATGGGATCACACTCTACATATGATTTAAGGAAGATTACTACATATTCGGAAACCAGGTTTGTTCTCCAAGATGTAGTTATAACCCTGTTCATGTAACAATATCTATTCTTCATGTAGTGCTTTGTAGCTATAAAGTAAATTTATATACATACATTGTTTTAATCTTATTTCACTAAAATCCCTCAAATATCTTTTATATTGCATATTAAAACATACTTATGCTGAGGTTCTAACATAGATATAGTATATATGGGCACGCAATTCAGTCAATGACAAAGCATTGGGCATCATATTATTCAAAGGTAAGGTCTTAGTCACATTTGCTCTTCTTGAATGTTAGAGTTGAAACTCAAACTAATGGTCTTTGATTCATAGTTTAGTACAATTTTCTACCACAATTCTGCTAGTGTTTCCCTTGACATAACATTCTTACATTAATCCCCCTGTCATCTTACTCTCTTGGGGTCCTCACTCAAATTCTTAATGTTCATTGTGTCAATATAATTTTCCTTCATCCCTTGCTCTATTTGCTTATAGATCCATTTGCCTACCAACAATTTTTTGAGCACTTATGTGCAAGACACATAAGATTTATTGAGATCATATTTCAAGAAAATATTTATGGAATGTGAATTTTATTGTACCCTCTAGTAGGAACATAATCCTGGTATGAATTTTTCAGGATAAAAGCAATTTTCCCCTCTTTTTGTTAGTAGATAATGCAAAACTATAACTTGGGATCATTTCACGATCTTTGAAAAACTCAGCATAAGATTGGACCCTCAGGTTACCTGCTGTGTCAGCTTTGATATATGTCCAGTAAACTTCAATGTGATTAGAATCATCTAACTATATTCAATCATAATATTATTCAGTCCGTTATATTATTATATATACACATTATATCCAGCTGTCTTATAAAAATGCTGAGGCCTATTCATAAATATAGGTTTGCATTTTAATTTCTAACATATTTGAACATATTTCAACATGAACAAAAAAGCTCATCTCACTGATATTTTTCTCCCTGAAAAATAGGCTTATAGGTTCATTGAGAAGTATATTAGCATATTCACCTGGAACATTATGTAAATAAACCACTTGGAGGGGTTTAAGATTTAGATATTCTAATGGAAAAATTTTGGAATTTTGTGCAGTAAGGTCAGCAAATGATAGTAGCTATTATAAATAAAGCTTATATTTTTTTCTTCTGATATATCAATAATCTCTGCAGTAGAATTATGACTTTAAATTGCTGATTCTTTGAGAAAAGCATTGTAAATCAATCCTTTAAAATAAATTATGAACGGAAATGGGATTTATTCATCACTTTTTAGATTTGATCATGAGTCATAACCATAAGACAAAACAGTTGTCCATGTAATAGTATACAACAATTTCTTAAATTCCTTCTGTGTGAACAAATAAATGGTATAGAAAATTCTGAAATGACATACTTTAATGTTTCTGGATACTGAACTCAAACTGAACAGAAAGTGGCTCCAAGGTTGATTTCATATGATCCGGTCATTTCTTCATCCACTTTGTCTCATTTTCTTACTCTAGAGCCAGACTACTTGCCTCTGTTATCACAAAACCCAGGGCCACTTTTATTCACATCCAAATAATCATACAAAATCTCTTTCTTCAGAAGCCTTATTAAAAATGTAACAGAATTGAAAATATCAATCTGTACTCTGTTGGATAATTTTAAAAACACAAAAAGGAATTACTTCATAAACACACACCTTAAGCTATAGGAAATAAATGTATTTTTCTGTTTGGCTATTAGTAGTAATAATAATAAAACAAACCAAAATAGATCTAAATTTTATCTTCTTTCTTTGAAAATGTCTTAAAATCCTCAACGGTTCAGCCTAGAATGAAGTATGACAAGAGAGTCTTGGGTATATTTGTGAGAAGATGCTGAGATGATTTAGGAACATAGCATTTTAGAGCTAAATGCTATGAAGATCAAAATGTATCCAAGTATCAAATTATAGTATATTAAGAAAAGGGCAAGTAGGAGTCTGAGGGACTGAGTTCCATGCTATATGTGAAATGGTGAAACTGGACATTTTAATCTGAATTTACAGATCTGTTTAAAGAACCATCATTTCATCTACACTTCTTTAGCTATCTCTATACGTATGAGATTTCATGCCGGCCCTTACTTTCAATACAATTTATATGAAATTACTCTCAGATCTGTGCCTCCAACCCACCTTTCCTTGTGAACTGTTACTACCTGCGTGATTTCTCTAATTGGTGTGTAAGCAGGTATCTCAAACCGAAAACGAACATTTCAAACTCTTAGTCCGCTTCCCCCAGTATTCCTTCCTTTCTTTGCTACATCTTCAGAAATGGCACCATCTACTCAGTTATTTAGGCAATAAACCTAGATGTTGTCTTTGATTTGCTTTTCTCACCCGTAAAATCCAAGCCATAAGAAAAACTTGTTATGATTACATACAAAATGTAAACTGTACTCTTTGCTCCATCTCCACTGCTACCATTGTGTCCCCCTGTACTACTTCAACAGCCTACCAATTAATCTCCTTGCTTCCACTTTTGAAGTCCATTCTTCACACGGAGGCCATAATGATGTTTTTGAATACACATCAGAACATGCACTTTCCTGTTGAAAACCCTCCAATGTTTTCCATTGTACTTAAAATTAAAAAAATCCAGTCTTTGCCATGTTCTACAGGGCCTCGTAATCTGGTCCCTGCTTACCTGTGTGACATCCTTGACCACTTATCCACTATGCTGTAGCCACAACATTTTTTTCTGATTTGAACATTCTAACATTTTTGCTTTTGTACTGCTATTTCAGGTACTTACAACACACTGTTCTGAATAGCTTCGTGTGGTTGAAATTTCTCCCCACTAAAGTCCTTGCATCAGTGTACCCTTCACAATTTAGGCCTTTCTTGACCTCCACACTAATTTCCCAACCACTCTTTACCACCCACAAGCCTCTATCACATCATCACCTATTATATTTCTTGTAGTGTTTCTCAATGTTAATGTATCAGGGTCATTTATTTCTTCTCTGTTTACAACTATCTCCCCTAATAGAATCTGAGGACCATGGGAGAAGAATATGTGTGCTTTATTTTTACTACTATATCTTCATTACCTAGTACATGTCACATAGTATGTGCTCAAAAAATGTTTTAACTAAATGAGTGAGAGTTATGCCAAGATGAGTACAGAAATCTTATGCAAGAAGGAATTAGAGCTATTGAGAATGTAATGGGCTGTCTCATATTTATGCTGTCACCACAGGCAGTCAGGTACAGAAGGATGAATACCTATGGAATGTAACTGAGGCAGTCTAGACTTTGGTAGGAAGTGAATATGATGTAGGACTGACATATGGCAGCACTTGAACCAAATATAATTTAAAGGTATGCTTTGTTTGTCTAGCAAATTATATAAATGATTCTGATTTTGAATGCTTTTCTAGAGTATTTGTACTTTCCAGCTCATCACAGTACCTATCACTCCCTACTGCCGTATATATTACTCCTATACCCAGCACTGTATATATTATTTGCATGATCCCTTAAAGCAATTGAGTTTTTTACACCAGGACTAAGTTATCTCTAAAATCCTTTTCTGATCTTAACCTTTGAGAAATAGAAATTTGTTTTACATTTTTTTAAAACAGAAAAATGTCAATGAAATTAGAGGAAGAAATAAATAAAGATAAATGTTTTCAATATTTTCTCTAAAAATATACATGGAAGAAATATATAAAGTTAAAATTGATAAGTATTGTAAATATATAATGCCTATAAGGAAGAAAAACTCACTGAATTCTCATATAAAAGTGATAAGCAAATTGTTGTTTTAATGTTTGAGATAGATAATTTAATGTCTTTTCCATCTACTTTTAATCTAGAATGAATGTATTAATAAATTGTGTGACTTTGGAATTAAGCAATTATACAAATATGAAGTCATCTGTTTATAAAACATCTGTGACTCATGAACTCAAATATAAGATCACACAGATGGAAATTAGTTGGGATCCTGCTTTAAATATTTTTAAAACCTATAAAAGCAGTTATTTAAGCAGAACTTAAAATCAAACTATTTCTATATATTTTGTTATATTTTGCATGAAGCTTGTCAAGTTAGAAATAAATTAACTAAAACTCCTTTTCTCATTTACTATATCTTTATTCCATTATAAATTTGGTATGTAACCTTCATTGATTTCACTGACTTGAGGTAGCCCACATTTAATTTCTAAACTTAATTTTTTCAAGAAGTGCTAAGTTTTCAGAATGGAAACATTTTTAAAAGTATGGCTAGCTGATAATAAAATGGCAGTTTTTATTGTCATCTATGAAACCCTCATTAAAGCTGTTATATGAAAGTTAAGCTTTCATGTTTTGTCCTGTAGAAGTTAATTTCTCCAGGGTGTCTTCTCAGCCTTTTGTTTCTACCCCTTTCTGGGGGTGGGGGTGGGGTGGGGACAATACAGGACTGTATTGAACCTAGTCCTGAAGGAGTACATTCAAGCAATTAAAACCATCTGAGGAATTAAACTCTAACAATCTGAGGGTTGTTATTTTAAAGAATATAAGTCCACAGATTTATTTTCATTAGGGGTCACCATGCTGTGGCAATTTCTTCATTCTTCTCTTTTCATACTCTAACTACACATATCTTACTGAGAGTCATATACTTTTTTGTGATGATAAGTAGTATCTTCTACATTAATAGAGATTTTGTTTGATGAATCATTTTGTTTTGTGATTTAGTAAGAAACATTCAGCAAAACCTTAGTTTCATGATAGTGAATTAAAAGCTATGAATATTTTGCCATAGAAATATATACAAATTTAATGTATAAAAAGCTTGTAACAGAATAAAATTATACATTTTTATCCATGGACACAAATGATAGGATCTTTTTGTTCACAGATAAAGCTCAATGTTTTAAGTCACTTGCTATCAAAAATTACAAAGTGTAAAATAAACAAGGTTTATATCTTTATTTTTCTCATGAAGTTGGAGACATTTTATAGGGTCACATTATGTTAAGATTATAAGGCGAACTCAATACTAGCTTGTTGCTCATTAAAACCTGTTGTATTTATGTGTGTTTGTGCATGTGTGTGCTTTAAATTTACTTGTAAAATAACATATTTAAGTTTTACCTAACAATGAAGGTTACTTATGAGTGTCACATTTTGACCCAACTAGTAATAGTGTAACTAAAATTTGATTTTTCATCTTTATTTCTTTTTAACATAATATTAATTTAAAATAATAAAAATATAGCCTTTAGCTTATATTTTATATGTAATATCTGTCAAAAAGTAGGCAGGGGGTGAAATTAGTATGCTTAGTGGCTACTGTATGTCATAAACTAATAGTTCACTTTGTTTTACAAACCCTGTTAGTAATGTCATAAAAGGAAAAGAAATGACAGAAAATAGCAAGAGATATTATACTTCAAGCTAAAAGTGTTTAGTCGAGTGATAGTTTAGTTAGTTCATCGCACCTATCTGCTGGTACCTAAATAAATAGTGTCCTAAGAAATAGAACTCATGACTAAACTGAAAGTATTTGAAAATGTTCAAAATTAACTGTGTGAAAAGTGTAAAAATTTAACTTTAAATATAAAAGCAAAAATAAAGCCTCTCTTAAAAGTACTTTTTAAGTAAAGTAAGTAAAGTTACAAGAAAATGCATTTTAAGGATAAAATACACGACCTATACAGCTTTATAGGCATGTTAAGATTATACAGAAGAGAAAGAATATATACTGTATATATACATTCATAAGAAAGTCACATTACTTGGGTATATTAGAGAAAGATTTATCTTGAATATTATTTTAAAATATGTTTAAAAATGGTTGCAATTCTATTAATTCTTGTGCTTATATCTATACAGATTCTTTCCTCAAATGTGCATGCCTATTATAGACTAGATATATTGACTTCTCTAAACATTAGTTAACTGTTTTCCTCATGTGAAGTGTGTACTGACCTGTCCCCCTTGAAGAAATAGGTTTTCCCAACGTCCTCCCACCAAATGGCTGAATCAATACCATGAGGGGGAATTCCGCTTCCAAGAGTAATCAAGTCATGAGGGTAACCAGGTTGAAGAGTCGTGTCCTTGAACACCCAATATTTGTTACCTGTATGAAATAAGTGCAAATGCAGAATACACTAATTTAATGTCAGAAATTAGAATATATCTACTAACACAATGCATTTAAAATTATTTTACATGAAATCCATGAAATAACTTAGTAGCAGTCACACCTGGAATACTGACATTATTTTTGAAACATAAATGTTATTTTCAAAAGTGGACAAAATGAAAACTTACTTAATAATGTAATCAGAATTTGTGTATTAATTTAAGAAATAAAAAAGATCTACAACTTGCCCTATTGAAACAGTTTTGAATCAAGGGTCAGGGATTCTTCCTCTAGGAATTAGAGGCCTTATTTTCATTCAAGGCTAAATCATTCCTGTGTGTTGGGCATTCTATATGCCCTCAGATTGCTGTACTGATTACAACCTCTACTCTGTTAAAACACTTCTTCTGGTCTGATCCTTTACTTTTAATATATAAACATTCACAAGTCCATCTAGTTTAATAAAGTCATCCTCTTTTGACATGATGCCCTCTTCTAGCTGTTACACTATCCTTCTCTTTAAGAGTGGTGACTGAAGGTAGCAAAATTTTAACCCTAAACTTGTTCAGAATTGCCAGAGTATGGCAATACTAAAAAAAAGATGAACTCCAGTCAGCTTTATTACTGTTTTGAAATTATCTACAGACAACACACTTCCTCATGCCCTACAGCCCTGGCAGACTATGTACACCACTCCCCTCTTTGGTATGACTCTCAAGTAGTCTGCAACCATTTCTCACTCCACTGAAAGTTGACTTAATACCCATTGTCTTCTGAAACCTTTTGTCCTGGAGTCACCAATGCCTACAGTTTTCCACCCTTATCTATTGACACAGTTGCCCACTTAAAGAACTTTTCTCCCTGAGCTGCTAGAAAACCATTTTGTTGTTGTTGCTCTTTCTTCTCTAGCTGCTTCTCTCCGAGATTCATTTATTTTACTCAGTCCTTGAATGTTGACATTTCCCAAGGCTCTGTTCTCTGCCCTCTTCTCTTTTAATTTTAAATTGTACAGGGACAGAGTGGTGTCACAAACTCAAATATTTATAAGGGCCAGTCTAGAGGTGACAGGAGTGGAGTGGCAGAGGTATTCAAATATTGAGACACATCCTGGATCTTTCTATACTCAAGCAAGAAACTTCTTGAGTAACTAACTCCTCTTGAGGTTAATATCTGGCAAAGTAAAACATTATCTTAATATCTTACAAAGTATCCTGTGTTCTTTCTACTAGATGTAAGGCCTTCCTCATTGTTAAAATATTTCAATACTATCTGTAGCTGAGGACTATGATAAACTGTAGCATTCATGTTATACCTAAAGGAATTTAAAAAAATTTAAAACCACTTACTAGCCTAAATCAACACAATACAAATGAACCAAAAAAACACATCTTCAGGCTAGATTTAGGTAGGAGTCTCTAGTTTGTAACCAGGGTAATCTTATTTAACCCAAGAGTTTCTACCACCATTTGTTATCATTTTAAATTAAAACAACATTTGTTGAGTACCTCCAGTGTCCCAAGTATCATGTTAGGTACCAAGGATACTAAAGAGAACAAGACAGAACTGATCACTACTCTGATCATCCCACACTCAAGTGAATTCAGCAGATGAAAACCAAAAACACAAAAATGTAATTATAGTAATTGAAAAACTATTGAATGCTACAAAGGAAACACATCAGGGGTTGAGAAAAAGAAAACATAAGGGGAACTTACTTTAAATAAGGAGATCAGGAAAGCATCTCTGAAGAAGTAACACTTAAGACAAATTTAAAGAAAGAGAAGAAGGTGATACCTATGCAAAGAATGCTGGGAAGAGTGCTCCAAGAAAAGCAGAGTTTTATATGATTAAAGTTGAAATAAGATCCTTGGAATGTAATAAGCAAGAAGATAGTAGCACTGAAAACCTATATGATGGGCTTGGATCTTAGTTTGAGTACACTGGTAAGCCATCAAAGAAATTAAATTAGCAAAGGCATATGGTCTGTTTCCTATTTTCAGAAGATGATCTTTGGTCTTTTTTTGAAAATGGGTCTTAGAGTGAAGAGTGGAAATGAGCAGCTCTATCAAAGATCTTTTGCCAGGGAAGAACCCTCAAGATGGAGGAGGAGTAAGACATGGAGCTCACCTTCTCCCCACAGATACATTATAAATACATCTACACAAGGAATGATTCCCACAGAACACCTACTGAACGCTGGCAGAAGACCTCAGACTTCCAAAAGGGCAAGAAAATCTCCATGTAACTGGGTAGGGCAAAAGAAAAAAAAAAAAAGACAAAGGAATCAGGACAGGACTTGCACCTATGGGAGGGAGCTGTGAAGGGGAGAAGTTTCCTCACACTAGGAAGCCCCCTCACTGGCAGGGACTGGGGGGAGCTTCAGAGCCTCAGAGGAGAGCACAGCAACAGGTGTATGGAGGGAAAAGCAGAGAGAGTCCTGCACAGAGGGTCCCAGCACTCCATAGCCTGAGACATTTGTCTGCTCACCCACCAGAGCAGGTGGGAGCTGGGTTCTGAGACTTGGGCTTCAGAGGTCAGACCCCAGGGAGAGGACTGGGGTTGGCTGCATGAAGACAGCCTGAGGGTCTAGTGTGCCACAAATGAGGGAGTCTGGGAAGAAGCTTGGGCCTGCCAGAGAGACAAGGAACCATTGTTGGGGGTGCATGAGGAGAGGGATGGGCCTGCCATAGGAGCTTCTTCCGCTCACAGGCAGAGGACACAGTCTACATGAGCTTCAGGGGTGGGCGCGAGCTGCAGCTGCTATCTCAGACCCTAGAGGCAGGAGCTGACTGCTACTGCTGCCACCGCTGCTGCCAAGGGTCCTGTGAGCAAGCACAGCTCACTGCCCACAACTTCCCAGTGGCTTGTGCAGACCGCCACTGTCGAGGGGCCTACGATCCAAGGCCAACTTCCCCAGGAGAGTGAAGAGTGAGCCCCAGGCTACTGCAACTTCCTGCTGGCCTCTGCCACCACAGGCACTCCCCTCACATCTCAATTGTGGCTGCCATATCCATCCCTCTCCCCGGCCTGAGTGAGTAAGTGTGCACTAGTTAGCCACTGCTTTTGCCCCCTCTCGCCTGGGCAGGTAAGTGATGGGGCCAAAAGCAAAGCTGAACTGCAGGGGTGGTGTGACCAAAGAAGAGGACTGGAAATCTCTCCATGCAGCTGCAGGAGCAGTAGATTAAATGCCGGCAATTGGCTTAGTAAACCCTACATCTGTAGAATATCTGAATAGACGAGTGTCCCCACAATTGAGGTTGGTCTAGCTTTAACAACTGTGGAGTTTGGGGGTAAGGACATGCAGGAGTTGGGCAGGTCAAAGTCTGAGCTGGGCTCACAGTGCCCATGTCAGTTCCAGAGACCTACTTAGAGGTATAGGAGGACTTCCTGGGTAGGCAGGGATTGGCTGTGGCTCACTCTGGGGTCAAGGACAATGATGGCTGAGGCTACAGGGAAATAATAATTATTATTACTAGTTTTTATTGTTTTGTTTATTCTGTTGTTCTTTTTCATTATTCTTTTAAGTTTTTTTATTTTTTCTTTTCTTTTTTATGCTTTTATTTTTAATAAGATTTTTTTTCTATTTTTACTTTTTTTGTAATATTGTATTTTTTCCTGGTTTTTGTTTTTTTTTCTTTGTTTTGTTTTTATATTTTTTAACTATATTTTTAAATTTTTACTTTATTTTTTTGTTGTTTTCCCTTTTTCATTTGTTTTCTTCTTTCTTTTTTTCATCATTTTTGTGTGTTTGTTTTATACTTTGACTTTTTTTAGTTTGCTTTCTGCTTTTGATTTGTTTTTTGTTTTTGTTAGTTTAACTTTTATTGTTTTCATTTTGGGGTTCATTTATTTGTTTGGTTGCTCTCTTCTTTTTTGTTTTCTCTGTTTTGTTTTTCTTTTCTGTTTTTGTGTGTATCTGTATTTCTTTGTGTGTGTTTGCCTGTTTGATTTTGCTATAACCATTTGTCTTGGGGTTTTTCTTTGTCAGTTTGTTTTCTTTATTTTTTTTTTCTTCCACGCTATGCAGATTGCAGGGTCTTGGTTCTCTGACCAGGGGTTGGCGTGAGCCTCTGAGGTGGGAGAGCCGAGTCCAGGACACTGGATCACCAGAGAACTCCTGGGCCCAGGGAATATTAATTGGTGAGAGCTCTCCCAGAAGTCTCCATCTCAACAAGAAGACCTGGCCCCACCCAACAGCCAGCGAGTTCCACTGCTGGACATCTCATGCCAAACAACTAGCAAGACAGGAATACACCCCCACACATTAGCAGACAAAAGGCATACTAAACTCACAGACACCCCAAAATACAACATCTGGCATGGCCCTGCCCATCAGAGGGACAAGATCCAGCTCCACCCACCAGAATGCAGGCACCAGTCGCCCCCACCCCCCCCCCACACACACAAGGAAGCCTACACAAGACACTGGACCAACCTCAAACACTGGAAGCAAACACCAAAAGACTGAGGGAATGCAACCTTGCAGCCATGCAGCCTAAAGAAAGAAGGCCCCAAACACAGTAAGTTAAACAAAATGAGAAGACAGAGAAATATGTTGCAGACAAGGGAGCAAGGTAAAAACACACAAAACCAAATAAATGAAGAGGAAATAGGCAGTCTATCTGAAAAAGAATTCAGAGTAATAATCATAAAGATGATCCAAATCTCAGAAATAGAATCGAGAAAATACAGAAACATTTAACAAGGACCTAGAAGAACTAAAGAACAAACAAACAGTGATAAACAACATAATAACTGAAATCAAAAATACTCTAGAAAGAATAGATAGCAGAATAACTGAGGCAGAAGAACGGATAAATGAGCTGTAAGATAGAATGATGGAAATAACTGCCATGGAGCAGAATAAAAAAAAAGATGAATAGAATTAAGGACCAGCTCAGAAACATCTGGGACAATATTAAGTGCACTGACATTCAAATTATAGGGGTACCAGGAGAAGAAGATAAGGAGAAAAGGTTCTGAGAAAATATTTG